AACCTATCAGCGTTGGGGGAAACTGCGAAGGTGATGGGTGCATCCCTCTGGATGGATTTTAAATGGGAATAAGCTGACGTGGTGTTAAAAGAAAGGGATCCTGCCTTTATTTCTTCACCTTCCTCCATTCCTAAACCTCCTCCAGACTTTGAGGTTTTAGCCAACTGCATCTTGTAGTCGTTTATTAGTAAGCCATGATCAGGTTACTGTTTGTGTCCGCTGTTCACTTCTAGGCTTCGATATGAAGCGGACTTTCATGCGCACTAAGCTGAAAGCCAAGGGCAAATTCAGCATGTTTCGGCAGGAGGGCTTCACATCCATGTGGCTCACTCTCTGCTGCACCAACGGTTCCCATGCTGAACTACGAATCAAGTTTCCGCGATCCAGTGTGGCCTACAAATCCACACACTCACGTTCAAACCACCTGACACCGTGGATTCGTGGAGATCCCTACGCACAAACTTCACCATCCGCTGAGGACTTGGTAATTAACGACAGTCCAACACCCCCGGCGTCTAGAGACACACCACTTTTCTTCTCCATTGACCGCTGTCCGCCGGTGAATGGAACTCGTCGAATGATATTCACTTTGGGAACATATAGGCCGTCCAATTTAACGGCTACGCTCTTGGATTATGGCTACTACACCTTGATGTGCGCATACTATGAGTACGAGGAACCACCACCACCACCGCCGGATACATCGTCTATCCAATCCAACAAAAGTAAGTTTCTCACCCTCATTTTCACTCCAATCCACAGGTGATTGGTCTGGGATTGTTTAACTTTGAGGCGGATACTTCTTGGGCAGGTAATAAAGGTCGGGTGATTTCCGCTTGGTTTACTTGTTAGGTTTGCACCTCTCAGTGTCAATTAGTGACTACCCTTTTCCTCCTTTCCTTTTCCAGCACTTATTCCAAGCATTCTGGTGGAAGGCAAGACCTGCCCACCTCATTTCTCACCTGCTCCCAACACCAAAGCCCATCTTTTGTTCTACTACCTTCGTGCGGCCTTTATCCTCTGCAAACCCGAAGGCATCTATCGTCATGACGCCATTGATAAGATTTTGCCCGATGGAAATCAGTGCTTTATCTCACACACCCCACGCGAAGTGAAACGTGCTGAGGGAGTAAGTGAAGAGGGTTTGGATGGTTCGTCCGATGAGGAGGAGGAGCAGGAGGACGAAGAGGGCTATGGATCTCGATTGAAGAGGTATCACTGTCCGTCAGGTAAGTTTAATTATTTCATAGCTCTTTGATATATGCCAATGTTTCATGTTGATTGAAGGTGCAGTTAAACTGGATAGCAGATATCATTCCAACACGAAAGGCTCGCGTTGTTTGGTGACCATTTCTCTTCTATTTGAGAGAGCGTCCTCTTTGCCTAAACCCACACGTCATAGTCTGCACTTGGGGGTCTTGGTGAGCCTCATTTATGGCTAGTAGCCAGAAAGTAGTCGGAGATCCGAACACACTTGCTTAATCAGTTGATATATCTACAGAATGACTTCATTATCCAGTCTAGGCATCGTCAACCGTCCATTTGTATCTCTTAGGTTTTGACACCACTGAATTGCGTTGGTCCGGTGGCAATTCATCATCCCACGGTTTTGGAACGGTGACCATGTACTTCTGTTGCCGTAAAAGTGTCACCCCATCCACCAATGGATCACCAACTTTATCACTGACAGACAAGGCAGATGGTTCCAATGGCCCTCCTCCCACCTTTCCACTTCCCTTCTACCTTCGATCTGTTCCCACTTTTGGCATTATAATCCTTGGCGGAAACTGTCCGGATTACTCCGATCAAGGAACTAAACTGGCAGCTGATTTTGTAAGTGTATCCAACTGTTCTGAGGCGTCTTGATAGAGGGTATTCACAGCAAATCAACACTCCTTAGGTAGGTCTCGAAAACCATGACTTTGTCTGCAGTGACACAGAGACCAATTCGTGTCCTGTTTAATTTCACAAGAACTTCTGCATTGATGAGCGGTTGGGCTGCCATGACAATTATCATTGAATTGTTTGAGGTTTTTGAGTTTTGAAGTTTGCTGTTTAGAAGCGTTGTATCTGATGGGTTGCTTGGTGCATCCTTTGCTGGGGGAATGGGACCTCCACACCTCCACCAACCCACTCCAAAATCTGTTCTCCCGCAAATTGAAATCGTCAATTGACGTATTAGTCCCCCTCAAATCACTTTACAAGAATTGCCATTCTGCAGAGCATTTTCGAATGGTCCACATCTTCGGCATCTTCCTTTTAGAGACCAACAATGCAATCAGAG